GCAGTGAGGTGGCAGGGTGCCACACTGGAGGGAGCCAGCAGCCCAGCAGGCCAGCTGTGCCTCACAGCTGGCTGGAGGGTGAGGGGCTGAGCCCTGGCTGGAGGTGGGGACCTCTCCCTCGGCCCAGCTTTGAGATGCAAAGCATCCTCACTGCCCTGGGGGGCTGGCTAGAAGAACGCTTCTCTGGTCTGGAGGGACCCTGGGCTTCTGTTCAGGGTTTTCCTACAATCTTGTCTGTCTTCCGCTTTCACAGTCCACCCTGAGGCTGTGCCTCTTGGCTCCTGGTCAGTACATCCGCTATTCCATATAAAAGCGGCAGCCTACCGCCCTGCTCCAGACAGCTAAGCAAAGAACTTAGACAGAGCTGTTGGCACATCTGGGTACATGGGTCAGGCTCAGAAATAAGGGGTCCTGGAAGTGAGCAGGCTCCTGCCCTGGAGGGCTTCACCCCAGCCCCTGTTCGCTTCCCCTAACCCCAGCTGGGCTTATGCCCAGGTCAAATATGTGAACTCTTTCATCTGAACATTTCAGCAGAGCCAGCAGACATCCCGAGAGCACTGAGGGGAGCCAGTCCCTGATGCACTGTGGCTTTGTCACTGGCAATAGCCCCAGAGATGAGCATACTGGCATAATCCCTAAGGAAATTGCTGTGTGGCTTTTACCCCACAAGGTAAAAAAGAGTTTCCTGCATCTGTCTTCACGGCCCCTCTCCCCACCACTGCCAACAGCTCCGGCTGCCCCTCACCCAACAGCTGTGTCATCGGCACCCCGTTCTCATGTCTCAGCCTCACATGGGAAGGAAGAGCATTTCTTTCTTTCTCTCTTAAAATAAAATAAAAATAAAGGCCCTACAAGGCATTCTGTCCTATTTTAAAATCCTAAAGTTGATCTTCTTAAACTTCGAAGGCAGATAGAGTGAGTGAGCGAGACCAAAGCCTTTAAGCTAATTAATATCTTCCCCTCCCTACTGCTCAAAGAGATTTTTTTTTTCTAAAAATACATCCATAGCCCATTTTTAATGCCGTCTTCCTTCACATCAATGTCCCCAATAAAGCAGAGGAGCTGAGCTGTCATCTCTATCTTAGGATCTTCCCCTCCCCTCACTTTGAAGCTGGGGTAGGGAGGGAGAGAGGAGAACAGGCCTTGGAGTCTGGTATCTGGGCAGCTGTCCTATAGGAAGGGCTGATGGAGGCAAGAGTACAGCCAGGTAAAAGAGACAGATGGGACCTCACATGGGTGGTCTCCAAAAAGCCTCTTCCCTCTAACACAGGAGGAAAAGCCTCAGTGAAGGGATCATCCACCCCAGAAAGTGAACATAACACTTGGTTTCGCTTTCAGAATATAAAAAAGCAGGTGGGCAGGAAACACAAAACCAGCTAGAAGGAGGACAGCTGAGGTGGGTCTGTTTTATGCTAGAGGAGACAATCTTCGTGTGTGTGTGTGTGTGTTGAGGTGGGAGGGCACCTCTTGGTGCCATCTCTTTGGAAAAGTACTCATCCATTCCAGGAAGATCCCTGGACTTAATCCCTCCCTTCTGCTCCCTCAGAACTGCTTGGTGTTTCCTTTAGTAAGCATGCACCATACATACGCTACCATACAGGTGTATTTACATGTGATGAGGTCTGCTGGGTCTCAGCAGAGGTCTCTGGTACAATGCTCCAATATAACAACAGAAAGAGTTTTGGTGTTCAGAGTGAGGCCATCTTTGTGTTGTACTGCAGCTCAGGACAGTCTCTCCTCCTCCTCCTCTCATGCACTTCCTCGCTTGGAACCGGCTGCTGCAAGAAGATAATATTTGAAGAGCGATGAGGAGAAAGCATGGCAAGTGGTACAAGTTCTCAGCTCCAGCTTAGCAGGCAGCAGCAGCAGTGGCAGGGGGAACTCCACCCCCGGGAGTGCCCCAAGGCCGGTCCTTGGCACAGGTGAGTCCATTTCTCTCCGAGGCTGGCGAAGCTTTGGGGTGAGTACAAACCTATGGCCAGGTAAATGCAAGGCAGGGGAGGAGGTCGAGGAGTAGCAAACGGAAGACACAGTGCCTATAAAGCAGCAGGTCATCAAGCCTCTCAGGAACAGGGCAGCGAAGTCCTACAAGGGGACGGCACGAGCATGGGAGTCCAGCTGGGCTGGCAGGGTGTGAGGATGTGTGAGCATGTAGGTTGGCAGTTTCTATAGATGGCTCCTCACAATTAGCATCATCTTGAGGGGAGACAGGGTAAGAGTTAGGTCTGTCAGCTTTTTTTTTTTTTCTTTTCTGCTTCTTTTACTAAAAAATAAATCACAAACTAGATCTCTGTAGGCAGAAAGGGTCCCCGGGAGGTGGTGGGGAAGGGAAGCGGGGAAGTCTGTGCTGTTTTGGTGCTGGTGGTGTGGCTACACGAGGCTGCGTGAGCCACTGGAGTACCTGCGCCTCTGAAGCAGGGAGCTGGGGGGGCAATACTGGTGGGGGTGGTTGTAGGGAGGTGGTGGAGGTGGGAGGGGAGGCTGATGGACCAGCTTCATGGGGGTCCCAGGGAGCCCACTGCCCACACCGCGCCAGGGGGTGGAGGTGCAGGAATCGGAGGTGACGTAGCGTGTCAGAGTCTGGTTGAGGGCCGGCTCCATTCGAGCGAGGCACGGCTTGTCCAAGACAATGACTTTGACAATCTGCTGGCACTGTACAAGTGTCCCCGCCGAGGCGGGGTGCGAGGGCACCAGTGCTGTCTCCAGCCGCTCCCGTGGCATGTTAAGACGCATGCTGGGCTGCATTCCACTCTCGGGCCCCAGGGCGGAGTTGTGCTGGTACGTTTGAAGCCTGTTGTGAATTGACACCTAGTTTAGAAACAGCCAAAGAAGCATTAAATGTTACAAGACTTTTCCTATCTGCTGCTACTGG